AACGAGATTCATCCGTGAACAATACCCGATGCCATTGGATGGTCCAGGCACGATGACGATGACTCCACGCCAGACGTCTAGCCCTGTGTAAAGCGGTGAACGGTACCCCTGTTGCTAATACCCGTGCACGTAACTATACTTCATGCAATCTGTTGCGCATGGTTTGAATGGACACAGATCCACCTGCTCCTGAAGGCAACCGGCTTCGGATGGCACGTGCCGTGGAGAAAGGGTCTCGAATAGTCAACAAGCGAATACGCCGATCTGTGCGCTCTGACGCGCACCTGTGAGCACCACTTCCTCTTCAGCGTGCACGTAGACCTTCCTGAATCCATCGTTTGACACAACGTTGGATGGTACTTACGTTGTGCCCAACACGAGTTGCTACTGTGCACAGAGATAAACCAAGTTCATAGAGTTCGATAATAACGGTCACGTTCCTCGGTCGTTAACTGATGGTACTGAGCTCGCCGACGTCTCAGAGGCAATTTCTACGCTTTTTCGAAAGTCGCAAATGCTACGCAAAACCTCAGATGCCGTTTATGAGAAGGGGAAGTTGCTGGCCTTTATAGCCCGAATATGCGTACCACGTTATCAGATGCGTGCGAAAATTTAATCATTTGCATATCCATCTCACTACTATCGCTCCTGAAATTTGCATGACGCTACGTGCATTATTTCCTGCTATTGCAATTTCACTTTTGAGGAATGTATATATATATATATATATATATATATAGGAGAAGGTGTAAAAATGGGCACATGTGTAAAGGGCACCCCTCCCTAGTAGCTATGGGAGGTACTGAAGACTGGCGGCAAGGACTGTATATGGCGACAGTTGCTAATATAAGATTGTACAGAGCAGTTGAAACCATTTTTTCAAGTAGTGTGGAATCAGCGTGAGTTATTGTGTAAATTGGTGCTTATTCTGGACTGCAAACTTTTGAGAGGTATGTGAAATCGTTTTCTTTTCACGTACTTATGTTCAGTTAAAAATAATTTGACAGTGATATCCGGAAAGCGGAGATCTTAAGCTATTTTTTGAAGCACACCTTTAGTCACGCACGCTTTTAGGTTACTTGTGATAGTGGCCATCCTTCTTAGGTGGGGTTGGTGTAAATATGGGCCCCCATTTAAAGGGTGCCCATAATTACGCCAACTTTTTTTAGTGGAGTTTAGCACATCAGGCTCTAGTTA